GTGAGGAGTTGGATGCTGGGACGTGTCTCATGTTGATGTGATGTACTGGATGCTGGGACGTGTCTCATGTTGATGTGATGTACTGGATGCTGGGACGTGTCTCATGTTGATGTGATGTACTGGATGCTGGGACGTGTCTCATGTTGATGTGATGTACTGGATGCTCGGGACGTGTCTCATGTTGATGTGATGTACTGGATGCTGGGACGTGTCTCATGTTGATGTGACGTACTGGATGCTGGGACGTGTCTCATGTTGATGTGATGTACTGGATGCTGGGACGTGTCTCATGTTGATGTGATGTACTGGATGCTGGGACGTGTCTCATGTTGATGTGATGTACTGGATGCTGGGACGTGTCTCATGTTGATGTGATGTACTGGATGCTGGGACGTGTCTCATGTTGATGTGATGTACTGGATGCTGGGACGTGTCTCATGTTGATGTGATGTACTGGATGCTGGGACGTGTCTCATGTTGATGTGATGTACTGGATGCTGGGACGTGTCTCATGTTGATGTGATGTACTGGATGCTGGGACGTGTCTCATGTTGATGTGATGTACTGATGCTGGGACGTGTCTCATGTTGATGTGATGTACTGGATGCTGGGACGTGTCTCATGTTGATGTGATGTACTGGATGCTGGGACGTGTCTCATGTTGATGTGATGTACTGGATGTTGGGACGTGTCTCATGTTGATGTGATGTACTGGATGCTGGGACGTGTCTCATGTTGATGTGATGTACTGGATGCTGGGACGTGTCTCATGTTCATGTGATGTACTGAATGCTGGGGACGTGTCTCATGTTGATGTGATGTACTGGATGCTGGGACGGTCTCATGTTGATGTGATGTACGGATGCTGGGAGTGTCTCATGTTCATGTGACTACTGATGCTGGGACGTGTCTCATGTTGATGTGATGTACTGGATGCTTGGACGTGTCTCATGTTGATGTGATGTACTGGATGCTGGGACGTGTCTCATGTTGATGTGATGTACTGGATGCTGGGACGTGTCTCATGTTGATGTGATGTACTGGATGCTCGGACGTGTCTCATGTTGATGTGATGTACTGGATGCTCGGACGTGTCTCATGTTGATGTGATGTACTGGATGCTGGGACGTGTCTCATGTTGATGTGATGTACTGGATGCTGGGACGTGTCTCATGTTGATGTGATGTACTGGATGCTCGGACGTGTCTCATGTTGATGTGATGTACTGGATGCTGGGACGTGTCTCATGTTGATGTGATGTACTGGATGCTGGGACGTGTCTCATGTTGATGTGAGTACTGGATGCTGGGACGTGTCTCATGTTGATGTGATGTACTGGATGCTGGGACGTGTCTCATGTTGATGTGATGTACTGGATGCTGGGACGTGTCTCATGTTGATGTGATGTACTGGATGCTGGGAGTGTCTCATGTTGATGTGATGTACTGGATGCTGGGACGTGTCTCATGTTGATGTGATGTACTGGATGCTGGGACGTGTCTCATGTTGATGTGATGTACTGGATGCTGGGACGTGTTCATGTTGATGTGATGTACTGGATGCTGGGACGTGTCTCATGTTGATGTGATGTACTGGATGCTGGGACGTGTCTCATGTTGATGTGATGTACTGAATGCTGGGACGTGTCTCATGTTGATGTGATGTACTGGATGCTGGGACGTGTCTCATGTTGATGTGATGTACTGGATGCTGGGACGTGTCTCATGTTGATGTGATGTACTGGATGTTGGGACGTGTCTCATGTTGATGTGATGTACTGGATGCTGGGACGTGTCTCATGTTGATGTGATGTACTGGATGCTGGGACGTGTCTCATGTTCATGTGATGTACTGAATGCTGGGACGTGTCTCATGTTGATGTGATGTACTGGATGCTTGGACGTGTCTCATGTTGATGTGATGTACTGGATGCTGGGACGTGTCTCATGTTGATGTGATGTACTGGATGCTGGGACGTGTCTCATGTTGATGTGATGTACTGGATGCTCGGACGTGTCTCATGTTGAGTGTGATGTACTGGATGCTCGGACGTGTCTCATGTTGATGTGATGTACTGGATGCTGGGACGTGTCTCATGTTGATGTGATGTACTGGATGCTGGGACGTGTCTCATGTTGATGTGATGTACTGGATGCTCGGACGTGTCTCATGTTGATGTGATGTACTGGATGCTGGGACGTGTCTCATGTTGATGTGATGTACTGGATGCTCGGACGTGTCTCATGTTGATGTGATGTACTGGATGCTCGGACGTGTCTCATGTTGATGTGATGTACTGGATGCTGGGACGTGTCTCATGTTGATGTGATGTACTGGATGCTCGGACGTGTCTCATGTTGATGTGAATGTACTGGATGCTCGGACGTGTCTCATGTGATGTGATGTACTGGATGCTCGGACGTGTCTCATGTTGATGTGATGTGCTGGATGCTGGGACGTGTCTGATGTTGATGTGATGTACTGGATGCTGGGGAGTGTCTCATCTTATGCTGATGTGATGTACTGGTTGCTGGGGAGTGTCTCATCTTATGCTGATGTGATGTACTGGTTGCTGGGGAGTGTCTCATCTTATGCTGATGTGATGTACTGGTTGCTGGGGAGTCTCATCTTATGCTGATGTGATGTACTGGTTGCTGGGGAGTGTCTCATCTTATGCTGATGTGATGTACTGGATGCTGGGGAGTGTCTCATCTCATGCTGATGTGATGTACTGGATGCTGGATGAGTGTCTCATCTCATGCTGATGTGATGTACTGGATGCTGGGGAGTGTCTCATCT